GTTGCCACCGCTGTCCTTGGAGGAGAGAATAAGCAGAGCGCTCTTCTGCTTGCTGGCAATTCAGTCATTGTGTCACACAGTCACAGATCTCCCACATGACGGATGTGACTTTCAAAAGACAAACATCTAATTATTGTCAAAGAATTGATTAAATATGACCATATTAAAATACAAATGATCATTTTAGCAGTTTTTCCTACATTACACTGACTCATACAATGTATATTTCTAATTTTATCATGAATAATGTATTTTATTTTCACAAAAACCCTTGAAGAAGGTTAAAAGATTTAGTCAAACTTGAGATGTAAGAGATTAGTGGGTTTTTCCCAGATCCCATGGATAAAGACTGGCTGGCACAGGGCTAGCATCTTGGTCCCTAGAACTCTCTTCTTGAGCCGTCATTCTCCGTTGTAAAGAAAGGGATAGAAACAATTCTGGCAAAGCTTCACCAACTCAGTATTGTCTGAAATGAATGTGGTCACAAAATGTAAAGATTGTTTATTTAAAAAATACTTTCTTTCTCATTACCTTCTAAATCCCATGGAAGATGGAAGTAAACTGTCTTTGGGGAAATCTCCTGGGGAGAAGCATAAGTGTAAAGAACTTACTTGGTCTCTGTGAGGGTAGATTGGATGTTACTCTTATTGGTTGTTCTGCCCTTCAGGCTACAAAAAACATCCAAGCCAGAAAAAAAAATGTGTATCTTTTTATAATAGTAATTTAATTTTTTTCAACATAGGAAATTTTTCGTACTATGAAAGCAATATGCTGTAGCCATTAAGGTTAATTTGCCATGTGTGACGGAAAACTGCCTCCTCCTCCTCATAATAGTGGCTGAAATAAGAGAGCTTATTTCTCTCTCCTGTACGGAAGTGGGTGGTCACGTTTATTCTGGCACCGTACATGGTTCCATTCTGGCCGTTCCTCCGTCATCCTCAGTGTGTGGTATTCCCTGCACTAGGGTCCAGACTTCAAGTGTACATTCCAGCCAAAGGGAAGAGGCATGCTGCCTCCACTGAAGGACACTTTCCGTAGGTTGCCTTTAGTAATTCTGTCACCATTTCACTGCCAGGACTAGTTATATGGCCACATCTGACTGCAAAGAGGCTGGATAATGTAGTCTTTATTCTAGAAGGACAGGCAGGTATCCAGCTCAAAATCAGCGGCTTCACTATTAAGGAAAAGAGAAGAACAGGGAAAGAGGAACAGCCGGCAGTAGCCACCCTGCACGCTGTGTGGTGGGCAGACTGGGGCTCTGCTGTTTCCGGTTCTCCTCCCCTTCCCAGATGCTCAGAAAGTTACACTTCCCAGCCCCTTGCCAGAGACAGGGCCATGATATTAGTTCTGGCTAAGGAGCTGGTGCGATGGGTGTCACTCCTGAATCAAAACATCTAAGAGGCACTGCTCAGCTCTCCACACCCCCTTCCCCTGTTTGCAGAAGTGTGTGGAAGAGGGAGGTGGCAAAAGGCTGAGCAGCGTGGATCTCAGCACCACCCATAC